TTCACTATCCGAGTATTGGGCGCATGTGGCGCAGAGGTCGGAGGCACCCTGCAATACACACGTAGCCACCAATGAGCGCCCATGAGCCACCAAGCCCTCCATCCCTCCGGGGTCGGCAAATTGGTACCAGACCTGTCTGCGAGAATAGCAGCACTGGATCGGTACATCGGTAGGCCTTCGCCAGTCATTGTAAAGGCCAGATATGCATTCAATCACCCCCAAACGATGCTTAATGAAGTCGAATGCACAGCGCATCCCTCAGAGATTGATCAACACCCGAGAGCTTTATCCCTTTTATCCTTTTATCCGAATATTGTAGGGTGTGTAGTTATGAAGATAGCATAGCTATGAGATATTCTATCTTCTTCCGGCCGAATAGTTAACGGTTTCAGAAAGAAACAACTCATTAAAGTTTTCCTCTTTGTGTAATGCAGCAAGCAGCTTTCTTTAATTACTCTGTTTCAAGAGAATGCTGCTATCTTATTACTCTTCGGCTCTACTTCAGTCAACAGCGTATGGCATTACTCAGGTGAAAGATTTATGATTAGATTCATGGAGAAGCCAATTCTCGAAGACTTTTATGTGCAGCTCAACGAAAATCACAAAATTTTACAGCAAATTGCTTCAGTTGTTCAGAAAACTGCTGCTTTTCAGATTTATGAAATAATTAATTCATTAGTCAGCAAGTCGTGTGATTTCTTCCCGCCCTTCTACATGCATGCCCCTTTCCATCCGAGCACTATTTTACCGTTTCATGGCGTGGTGAGTTGAAAACGACCATTAAAAGGTTATTAATTGAGACCTCCTTATCGGTTTTTCATCGCGGTTGAGAAGAGTTAGTGGAAAACGTGCCACCATGAACAGTGGATGGTTCACTCAGTGCGTTGCCAGAACTGAAAAGGAGCTTGGTATATCCCACGGAACCCCATTCAAAATGTCGAAGAGGTTTCTAGATGAGCAGGATATATCACAGTCCGAAACTGGAAAGAATTTTTGTTAAAATACGGCGCAGTGAATGCTGCTGTTAAAAAAGGAATCCACAGAAAACACCATTTAGCTCCTTATATCCCTATATGGGGTATGGAGTGTGCTCTCTTCAAATGGCATACTGTTTGCGGCAACACCTCCAGTTTTCTCCGCATAGTATAGTGCAACAAATTTATTAAATTTGATACGAGTACACTCTCAGTATAAATAATTAGGGGTAGGAAGATATTGAAAAGCTTCAGATTCTCAGTTTGGCCGCGATGTGCTGCCAGCGGACTGTGTCTACTGTTCGCTCCGACAAATACGAAAGTAACGGCATTGCTATGAGTCTGTTGCTCCTTGTGGTAATGGAAGCCAAGGAATTTCTTTATATTTGCGTGCAGTCACCAATCTGTGTAAAAGCATTTTGAAAACAGAAAAGAGAGGAAGGTGCATCGCTTAAATCAGCCTATAAATGATCAACCAATGAACGAAAGACGGAAAGATATCAAATTATTGATTAATACAGATTGTCGCCATTGTCGCCTACACGAGCTATGTGTATGAGATCCGCGATTTCGATGCAAAAATATACTCGGTGATTTACGTACCACCGGCTGCTGTGGCTAAGTTCAACCAAGTCGCATTGTTAAACATCTTCATTGGCTTCGTCTGCATTGCCACGTTTCAAATTTTGCCTCGATAAAACAAAAAGCAATGTTCAGTGTAAAATTTTTATTGTCGTATACGGTTATAACCATATGGTTTTAATGTACTGATAAATTTCGGTATCAAATTACTTACTTGATACTTGAACGGTCCGTCCTCACTGGTTGTGCGGGCTCCAGCATAATCATCACTTTTCGGAGACTTGATATCTAAGCCATTCTGGTTGACTGGAATCCCGAGGTCAGCCTGGCCAAAGTATGCCTCAGGTCGTCACCACGACAGGCAGTCGCAGTCCTTGTTGATCAGAGGGAGATTTGCCAACATGCGAGCTTTGATACCAGGACGTTGGTGGGTCTTGGTATTGGTTTACTTTTAGCTAGGCTTCCTGATAGAAACGCCGGACTCCTTCTCAGCTTGGGAGACCTTGCCGGAGGGACGAATCCCCCCTGTATATCGCAGTCCGACACCCAGAAACACCTCCCAGCCACGATGAGGCGGTAAACCGTTGAGAGGCTATCAAATTAATGATGCTGAAATTGAGTATGTTAGCATTATGTTTGGTAATCCGTTCCCTTGGTCTTAGCGTGATATAGAATTTTGCACGCCGTATCTCCCTTATAGAGGGATGTTGTGCCAGTTAGTGGTGAGACAGTGTGACGCATCCTCAGGTGGTGGATAGGGAGTTGATCGCGAACCAAAAGCGACTTTTTGCTTCCTCTAGATGGGTTTAATCCAGCAAATGGATTCCCCCTTTTTGGTTCCCCGATTTGGCACTGGTTCCGATCACCACCTTCTTGGCGCGAAGATTCCATTCAGCCGCATGCTGGAAAAGAACTCTCTTCACCGACCACGAGGAAAAATTCTAGCTGCATACGACGAGAACATTCTGAACGAAGTCTCGTCCAAACGTGACTGGCAGATTAAAGAAGACCAGACCGAAGACTGCGAGCTGCTTGTCGAAGGACTGAAAACTGTGCCAAATACTTCTCAGTTCCCCAATCACGAAGATCGGATCGCATCTCTACTACCACTAAGGAGTTGCTCGAAAAGAGAAGGAAACTGGAGCTTGATCCTACTGCAACACGTTTAAAATGGCTAGTAGTAAATGCCAGCTGCAGAAGAGCTTTCCAGGAAGATCTACAACGGTCCAAGCAGAAGAAACTACTGGAAGCAGCAGAGAAAAAAAGCAGTCTGAAAAAATGCCGTCGGGACTTGTGTGATTATAATGCTCCGCTGCCAGCCCTGATGAACGAAGATGGAATCGCCAAAACTTCCTGCCATGATATGGAATTAGTAACGGAGACATTCTACACCAATATTTTCCGTTCCACAATCCTCGTCCTTGGCCCTAATATCCCCGCTGGAGAAAAACCACTTGAAATTCTTCCCTCGGAGGTTCCAGTTGCGACAGAAAGCATGAAAAGAGGCACGGCTGCAGGACCAGACAATGTCACCGCCGATTTCCTTAGAGCTGGAGGCCACAATTTACATGTACTTCTCGCAGATCATATGACAGGTTACCTTCAAAAGGAAAAAAATTGCAGACCAGTGAAGGACGTCGCGCACGGTCATCCTGCCCAAGAAAGGAAACCAAAAAGATCTTCCTAACTATCGTCCCATATGCTTGTTAAGTGTACTCTACAAACTCTTCGCGTAGATTTTCTTCTCGCGCATATCAAGGACATTTGATGAGGCGCGACCCGTCGAGTAAGCAGGATTTCGAAAAGGATTTTACTACATGGACCACATCCAAACCGTGTCCAGGGTCAACGAAGTTTGTCGGGAATACCACTTGCCTCTAGTCCTAACCTTTGTCGACTATGAAAACGCGTTTGACAGTGTCGAAACGAATGCAATCCTATCAGCGTTCGTCGACCAAGGAGTGGACCCGTCCTACATAAAAACTCTGTCTGACTGTTACCAGAACTGCACTATGAAAATACAGCTTTTCCATCGGCCTCTTACCATACGCATAGGAAAAGGGGCGACACAATATCGCCAAAGCTGTTCAGTGCAGCACTACAGTGGAAAATGAAGTCACTCTATTGGGATGAGAGCGGGAAGCGTATTGATGGAAAATTCCTATCAAACCTTGGTTCTGCCGACGACATTGTCATCTTCTCAAGAAGTACTAGCGAAGCAGAAGTGATGATAAACAAGCTCAACGAAGCGGGAAAAAAGATCGGACTTCGCATAAATCGAAAGAAACCAGTTCATAAACAGTTCACAAAAAATCTATGGTGCGAAGGCGAAAAAATTGAATTGGATGGCTCTCTCATTGCAGAGACCACCTCGTACGTTTACCTTGAGCGATCAATGAGCATGAAAAACAACATGAACGAGAAACTAGATAGAAGGAGAGCAGCTTGGGCCGCATTCGGGCCTCATAAAGAAGCCACCGACCAACTGAAAGACCCGAAAATTTGCGCTCATCTCTTTGATTCTACGGTCCTCCCAGCGTTCTGTTATGCTGCAGAGACGTGGGTTGATACTTCAACTACGTTAAGAATGCTTCTCACTACTTACAGAGCGCTTGAGCGATGGCTTCCGAAATATAACCGACACACTCAGTATGTAGCCGGAATGCGAAGCTCTGACCTTCGAAATCTGTCACATCTTCGAGATCCAGAAGAATATACACCGACGGCGAAACATAGATGCGCCGAGCATATAATGAGAAGAACCGACGACAGATGGACGAAAAGAACAGTAGAGTGAACTCCAAGGGAATGCAAACGTCCTCTTGGACGTCCACCTACACGTTGGGCGGACGTGTTCGTAAGCAAAATTAATCACCTGTGCTCGCAGCTGAAGTTGTTTTACAGGTCACGGTATGAGGCACGCAAGCTCTACCATGCTCGAACAAGACTACCATGGACTACGATTGCGAGAGAAAGGAACGAATAGCGTATGTGCTAGGGTCCGCACAGCTCATGAATACGGACCGTTCAAGTATCCAAGCAAGTAAGATTTGGCACATATCTTGAGTGTTTACAAAGTCATATTTATACAGGTCTGTGTGGGTATTCAGATTTATGCAGATTGCATTCTACGAGTCAGTTCACCCAAAAGCCTGAATCAAATGACAGGGAAGTAAGGGAAGGCGATTAAGAGTCAAGTCTAACAAACTAGCTTCCTGTTTACACTGCGTGAGAGTGACAAGCTACGCGTGAGTAAAGCCGGCCCTATACCCAGGGGATAACAATCTATGTCGGTATCAGAAAGCTAAACAAAGTAGAATAAAATGAGCCACATTCCCCTGACGCCGAAGGAGTCCTGATACGGCAGCGATAGATAGGACGAATGCGATGAAGTTACTAAAATCTTGGGCCATTCTAGGCCCTAAATCGCGAAGAACTATCGTGATGATCTGTGCTTCCAATGCACGCACACTTGCATCTGAGTACTCGATAGAAGACTTGATAGACATGCAAGCAGGAAGGGTAAGGTACGACGTCATCGGCCTGGGCGAGACAAGACGACGCAACCCATTCAACGCCATCTATGACATCGGAGAAGAACTGTTTCTTGGAACATGCGACAGTAGAGGAGTCTGCGGCGTCGGTGTTCTCGTCAACACGAGTATGTCCATGAACATCAATTCATTCGAGCAACTAACAACCCGAATCGGACGTTTACGACTGAAGATATCTGGATCAATACAAACTTTGACAATCTTCGTCGTTTACGCATCGACATCAAACGACGACGAAGGCAGGCGAAGTCGAAGCGTTCTAATTGGACTTGGAGAACTTCAACGGAGAAGACCATACATCTTTACGGTCATCGTTGGAGATTCCAATGCTAAAACTGGATCTAGAGATTGTCCGAGGAAAGCCACATTGGATCACACGGACTAGAATGCAACAAGCAGGGTGAACGGCCGTCCGACATAAGGACTAGGACCATTTATAGTAACAAACAATTTTAAAAGGCCAGTCTTCAACGCTGGACGAGTGGTCTCCCAATGAAGCGCACCTTTGCGAAATTGACCATATCATGGCAAAACGAAGGTTTTGCCTAATCGTTGTCTTTGTTGTTCGCAAATTCTACGAGGGACAAAGCAATCGTCCCTTTTGCGCAAGATTCGATCTATCGCGGAAAGGACAGACAGAAGCTAAGTTAAACAAACGTATTCCCAAAACCACCATAAACTTATATCTACTCAGCTCTCCAGTCGGCTTTTGAGAAAATGCCGTTTTTGATAACATCGACGAAGAATACCAATGGCCTAGTTAATATTTTCACGTTAGCACTTTGAAAGGTAATAAAATTAGCATACAGGCAATAAAAGAGGATCTAAAAGAGAAAAGAGTGGTAGTTAGCGCAAAGCCTAAAAAGTACAGCCTCAAAACCCACTAAAACTTTGCCAATTACAAAACCAATATTGTTACACTGCGGCGCCCAGACGGAACAGTTACAGCTTCCAGAAAGTCAATGAAGAACATCGCTGGCAGTTACTAGTCGAATCTTTTCAATAGCCACGTCCTCCTATCCTCATATGAAATAAAGGTTGGACAAGTCATTCCATTGGTTCTTCCTTCTAAAATTCGGCACGCTGTTTCGTCGGAGACCAACTGAACAACATCAGGTCCAGACAGGATGAGATCTGAACACCAGAACAACCTTCCGCAAGTCATCATGGACACACTAGTTCCGCTTTCCACATGCTACTTGTTTGAATGCAATGTCCCTCCTCAATGGAAAACCAACAAGACCGTGCTTTTGTTCAAGAAGAGTGAACTCTACGATATCGGCAACAATCGCCCAATCTGCTTACTGTTCATCGCCAACAATCTTTTCCCTCGAGTCATCCTAAACCAGATTTACAAGACACTTGATAGAGAACAGCCATTTGACAAGCAGGACTTCGAAAACGAATCAAGGCGATGGATCTCATCCACACGATAAGACTCCCTGAAGTATCATAAGAGTGCGAAAGAAGACTCTGTCTCATTTCCATCGATTTGAAAAGAGCTTTTGACTCACTTGAGATAAAAACAGTCATTGAAGTCTTGGACAGCCAGTGGGTCTTTGCTCAGTACATAAAAATTCTTCGCGAGCTATATAAAAATTTCACAAAGAAAATATCGCCATTATACAACGATGTTAACATCGACGTCAAAAGAGGAGCTAGGCATGGCGATACCATCTCTCCAAAATCATTTACCCCCATCATTGAGGACGCCATGCAAAAATTGGAGTGAACAACATGAGGGTGAAAATCGGTTGTCGGTGATTACACCATATTCATTTCGAAGATGATATCGTTCTTATAACACGAAATATTAGAAAGGCGGAGCGAATGTTTAACGACTTTAGTAAAGTCTGCGGATAGATTGGTCTTTGACTAAATCTCACAAAAACGTTGTTTATGAGGAACGGATCGGTTGCATATGAACCATTCACGCTCAACGGAATGAACATCTCCAAATGCTCCATTTACGGTTATCTAGGTCGAAAAATTAACATGGTGAACGACTTAGCTGTAAAGTTGGACAGGAGGAAGCCAGCGGCTTACGGAGCTTCACAATACTTGTTGCCTTAGCGTATGCGTGAGAAACCTGGTCGCTACATAAGCAGTATGAAAGATTACTTAGTATTTTAGAGCTCGCAGTCGAAAGGAAGTTGTTAGGAGTACCATGTATCAGGCAAATGAGAGAAGAGATTCGAAACTTCGACCTATGTGTGCTATCAAAATTCATAGACGTCATCCTATACTGTCGAAGGTAAGATGGCCCGGAGACATATTGCACATGAACGGCAACCGATGGATAGGAGCCGTAAGCGATTTAATTCATCGGCACTTCAAATGCACACAAGAAGGATCACAGATCAAGTGATCAGAAATTTTCTCGAAAACCCTTGAACAAATATGTGATACTTAGTGTGACAGGAAGAAATGGAAGTTTCCATGGCGTCCGCTACTCGACAGTCAACGGGAAGGCCGGTGAAAGGTGACGGTTTTCTCTATGCAATTTTTTCTTTCGTTGTCGCCAGACGAAGCGTCTCCTAGGCTCCCAACATTAAATAATGGAATAAAGAAAAAAATTCCAACTCTGTTCTTTCGAATATAGCGCAAAATAACTAGAATTTTATGTTTCTGAGAGCTACCAGTAAACCTTTACTTCTCTGCATACTCGCCTCCACTTCAAAATCTTCTTTCTCAGTGCACCTTGAAGGAATCTGGCTTTGCCATTATTCTTTCTGTATCTTCAATGAACATCGAAATACTAGAAGGTTACAAACCCTGCCACAATCTCTTTAACGGTTGAGTTACTCGAATGGATGCTTGTCAAATCGTCACTTAACTCTGCAGCTTTAAGACATTTTAGTATGCTTCACTCGCTCGATAAGCACCTAAAACACCACTAGATTCTTATGAAATCTTCAGTTTTCAGTGTTTTTAACATATGCACGCATTGGATAAAAAAGCTCTCTAAGTTGATCAATCCCTGAGGGAACCGCCATGAACTCGACTTCATTAAGGATTGCTAGAGGTGACTGAATCCATATCTAGCCTATAGAATGACTGATGGTGATATGCCGATGTATTAGGTCAGTACCTTTCGTCCCAGATAGCTCTGGCATCAATTTGCCCACTCCGGAGGGATAGAAGACTTGCTGGGCCTACAGTGCGTAATCGGTTCCATGTTTATTGGAAGGTGCTTTTAACTATTGAGCTACACACAGTCTAGAAGTTGTATAATAAGGGAAAGCAGAAGGAATAAACAAAATGAACATGTTCCCATAGATGTTCCACATGTTCTCGAGTGAATCGTAGCTAAAACTTTAAATAAAGTATGAAAATGACAGAAATTGTCAATTGTAGGTTAGCAATAGTATTTAAGCAACTCTTTTAGCATTGAAAAGATAAGAAACCATTTGGGAGGTAAGGAGGCAATCAGCTGTGACCGCTGTGGTAATACTCATCGAGCTTCCAAGGTGTCTATCTGCATCGCATCTGTTTCTACTGTGGAAACAAGCAATTTTGAAGGACTTGGTTAGTGCGAACGATGTCTGGGTGTTCTAGAGCATCGAAGTACTGCTTGGGAAATTTGAAAGAGATGAGATCGTTGAGTCAACCGGGACAAACGAATGCACATCGACTCATTTATGCACAATCGAGTGTCATTTTATCCCCTCTATTTATCCTTTCCACATCCCCAACGTGAATAAGAAAATGTTCTTGGCGTTTATAGAAACATATTTCGAAAAACATCTGGTAGAGGACGAAAAATGACGTAACTTCAGAAACATAGGGACGCTCACAACCCGCTACCAGACACGCGAGAACGTCAACACCACCCACTTTGCCTCCCATATCACCATTATTCAAGTGTGAGACCGTTAAAGTTCTCTCTAACATTCGAAGACGAAGCCGTTTTTCAACTGGTGATTGAATGCAAATCTGGGCCATACATACAAATACCTTCAGTGGGCTACCGATGTGTCGAGGCAGTGATGCTATCCCCCAGACAAGTCTGGTACCAATTTGCTGACCCCAGAGGGATAGAGGGTTTGGTGGGCCTGGGGCGCGGAGATCGATCCATTGTATATCGCAAAGCGCCTCCGACCACTGTTCTGCCCGCGCCTCTGCTTATTGCTACTGTAGTGAAATGACGGTCAGTTTGAAAAACATTGTTTTATCATTCACCATATGCTAGCTAACATAATGCCAACTGCTGCAGGATGGATTATCGGTTGAGAAGAAAGTTGTTATCAAAGCATAGTCGTTATCAATAACAAAAGTCGTGCATAAGACAGTACTGGCGGGTGAGACTCCCTTATTCAAGTTGTGCACACTGAAAAATGTCCGTCTCGTTACGACGACACATACACCTCCTTGAGATGACGAACGACTGTGGACTATCAACTCGGATCATCGGCTCTGATGAAGGCGAAGGCGTCGAAACGTTACCCGAATAAACATTTTTGCCAGCTTCGTGTTAGCTTAAAAATCGAAGCAGGTATTGGTCATTACCACGGAGGTTATATGACGGTCCATGTGAAAAATATCACCAAACATTTTTAATTCCAGTGACGCTCTCACCATATGTTAGTTTATGGCTAGTCTGTAATTGCCACACTTTTATCAAGTAATTCTTCGTATTTTTGTTGAGCAAACGCGAGGTGTTATTATTCCTTATTCACGAATAAGCTGACGTTTCGGCGGATTTCGCCTTCCTCAGAGCCTGGAAAGGTCAAGTTGATAGCAATCTACCAGGCCAGACGCCTCCATAACCAAACAAAGAAACTCTAAACCAAGATTTCAATCACGTTGAACACAGCTTTGCACACTCACCGCTTTCTATGAGGTTTCCACTAAGTATGTCACGTAGAGACCAACCGCACAGAAATCACATGGAGTATAATGTGCCCCTCCCATCAGAATAGCAGTCTTATATACTGCCCTATATCACGCGTGATAATGAGGCATTCTTCCCTGCGGTTCCTTTTCGGATTTCTGGAATTAATCCAGAATGCCTCGAGAGTTTTTCGCGCCTGTGTTCTTGATTCGCGTGCGAGGATCGTGACACATACTTCAAAGTCGTCCCCGTTATGTCTCTGGGTCTTATGCGTCCCTAGCGGTGTATTTGGTCTATGTTTGCTGGCTAGGTGTTCTTTTATGCGGACACAGAGGGGTCTACCCGTTTCGCCAATGTATTCGTCACCGCACGTCTCACAGGAGATCAGATAAACTATACCCGAGCTCATGCAATCACCATCTCTACCACTGGGGCAAATTATGCAATTTTGAGTTGCACACAGACGGTCATATAGGCGGTTACGAACTAGCTGGCGCTTAAGATTACTCGGTGGTATTTCAACTACGCTTACCGAATTCTCTAAGCCCGCCCTTCTCAAGCAGCGTTTTATAGCTGTACTTATAACATTTGAGATGAAGGGTAGGATAAACGGGACCCTTCTATCGCTAGAGTTGTTGCTTGGAGGCCTACGATTCCCTCTACACCTATCCTGAGCTACAGTTTCGTAGCCATTAGAAATGGCTATTTGCCGTGCTAAGTTCCGGGACTCCTCTCACTGCTCTTCTCTCCCCGTGCACACGTTGGTTGCTGTTCGAAACATTTTTCTTACGAGCGCCCTTTTCGTGTGAGAGAAGTGCGAGGAAAGGTAATGAACCAAGATATTTTTACTACTTGGCTTTCGGTACCACTTCGTAATGTAGCCATTTTTTGACAGGTTAATTTGGACGTTCAGGAATGGAAGCCGGTTTTTTTTCGGTTTCTCTCGGGTGAACTTAGTGTACTCTGACTGTTCGTTCAGCAACTCGAAACAATTGTCCACTTCCTGTCGTGTTGAGTCTATATATCTACAGTAGAGTAGCGGCCCGAGATCAGTCACCGGTGCTTCCACCTTAGACATAAATGCAATGGCAAGGCTTGGAGCCAGTCGTTGTTCCATTGCCAACCCTCTTATTTAAGCGTAGTACTTTCCGGACCATCTGAAGACTGAACAGCTCAAGCATTCTTTTAAGAGTGCCATCAGGTGCTCTATCTTGAAGCTATACATGTTTATTTCTCCTTCGTATTGTGTAAGGAGTTCGAATATGGCTCGCATTGCGGAGTCATTCGACACGTTTGTATAAAGGGCGGTAACGACGAAGGACTCCATCACGCACGCGCTGTTGGGCTGCGCAGTACGTAGACGATCCAGAAACATCTGGGGATTCGTAAGATGGGCTGGAATGTGTTTCAACAACTGGTTAAATATCAGGGTTAAAAACCATGTTATCCTATCCGTTGGCCCTCGTATACAGCTAATGATAGGTCTAACCTTAAATAGTGATGGATCGGTAGACGCAAGATCATCGCTGGATACTAACTTATGAGTTTTTATAAGTAAGTACAAGACGGGGCATTTTGGTAAGTAAACTTTAAGTTGAGAGA